AGACGGGGTTTCACCATGTTGACCAGGATGGTCTCGATCTCTTGACCTCGTGATCCACCCGCCTCGGCCTCCCAAAGTGCTGGGATTACAGGCTTGAGCCACCGCGCCCGGCCTTGCTTCTATGTTTATTAAGCACCTAACTTATTTATTAACCAATATTAATTGAGCTTGTTTATTCTGTGACCAGACACTATGCTAGGCAACTATATGGGTCATCTATGGCTGCATAACTCATTGCCTTGATTTTAAAACAACATACATGTATTTTATCATAGTTTCTGTGTGGTAGGACTTCAGAAATGGCTTAGCTGGATGGTTCTGGCTTAGATGTCTCATGAGGTTGTAGTCAATATACCAGCTGGGACCATGATCCCCTGAAAGCTTGATTAGGGCTGGAGAATCCACTTTCAATTTGGCTCATTCACGTGGCTGGCAGTTGGCAGGGGGCATCAGTTCCTCCCATGTGGACCTTGCCATAGGATTGCTTGAGTGTCCTTACAACATGGCCGCTGACTTCCCCAGAGCAAGGGATTCAAGATGGCAAGATGGAATCCACAATGCCTTTTATCATCTAGCCTCAAAAGTCACACTCCCTCTTTTTCACAACTCCTAGTGATTATGCAGGACAATGCTATTCAGTTTGGGAGGGGAGTACATAATGGTGGAAACACCAGGAAATGGAGATCACTGGGGGATATCTTGGAGGCTGGCTACCACAGCAGCATTGAATAAAACTCAATCTCTGCTCTTACGGAGTTAACAGTCTAGGGAGGGAAGGATAGAGGTAGACAATAACAAAACAATGAGTTAGAGCTGGAGTAAGCAAATTTCACCCATGGGCCACATCTGGCCTACAGCCTACTTTTGTAAATAAAGTTTTATTGGAACTCAGTCACACCCATTCACTTACATATTGCTTATGGCTGTTTTATGCTGTAAGAGCAGACTTCAGGAGTTGCAGCAGGGACCATATATCCTGCAAAGCCTCATGTACTTAGCTAAATGATCAGGGAACGCCTCTCCAAGAGGCCACGTTTAAGTAGGGAAGTGGCCATGGGAAGAGCTGAGGACAGAATGTTACAGATAAAGGGAACATCAGGGTAAAGGCTGTGAAATGGGAACAGCTTCAGTGTGTTGAGGAACAGGAAGGAGCCCAAGGGGGCTGGAATGGAGTGGCCCTGGGGAGGTGATCTCAGGGGCATGATCAGAAACCAGGGTCTGTAGGACCTTCAGGTCCTGGTGAAGAGTTTGAAGTTGTTCCAAGAATAATGGGGAAGCCATTGGAGGGTTTTAAGCAGGGAGAGGTCGGATCTGATGCAGATGGTAGAGATGCCTGGTATAGTTTTGCTGCCACGGGCCTCTTAAATGCAGCTGTCCCGGAACCTGTTAGTCCTGACAAAACTCAGGTAAGGACTTCTGGCATCCTCCCATGATCACATGTTCAGGCTTACCCATCTCTCTGATGTGGAAGTCCTTTCTTTTGACTCACTCTGAGTCCCTTGCTATCCCGTGCCAGCCTGCTTCTTCTGGATCTAAGAAATCTGTGAAGTTGGAAAGAACACTGAATTTTGAGCCCTGGGTTCCAGACCATCCCCCTGTGCAAGAGTCTGGCAGCCTCACTGGATCTCAGTTTCCTTGTCTGTAAAATGAGAGGAGAGTCTAGTCTGCCTGGCCCAAGGCCAGGTGATTAAATGTCCTAGGAAGAGCATGAAGGGCGTGTGGCAGCACGGGTTGGGGTGGACTTGGCCAGACTGGGGTTGCTAAGGTGAGCCGTGGGAAGTATAGGCGGCTGGTGCATTAGGCAGAAGGCTTCCTGCTAACCCTCCTCAGCTTGATTTTTTTTTTTTTTTTTTCCTGAGACAGGGTCTTGCTCTGTCACCCAGGATGGAGTGCAGTGGCGTGATCTCAGCTCACTGCAACCTCTCCCACCCTGGTTCAAGCAATTCTCTGCCTCAGCCTCCTGAGTAGCTGGGATTACAAGCACACACCACCATGCCTGGCTAATTTTTGTATTTTGAAATCCTGACCTCGTGATCCATCTGCCTCAGCCTCCCAAAGTGCTAGGATTGCAGATGTGAGCCACCATGCCTTGCCTTTTTTCTTTTTTTTGAGATGGGGGTCTTGCTCTGTCTCCCAGGCTGGAGTGCAGCGGCATGATCTCAGCTCACCACAACCTCTGCCTACCATGTTCAAGTGATTCTCCTGCCTCAGCCTCCAGAGTAGCTGGGAATATAGGCACCTGCCACAACGCCCAGGTAATTTTTGTATTTTTAGTAGAGACGGGGTTTTACCTTGTTGGCCAGGCTGGTCTTGAACTCCTGACCTCAGGTGATCCACCCACCTCAGCCTCCCAGAATGCTGGGATTACAGGCATGAGCCA